AGCACATTTACGAATCAAGATTGGCAGAAAGTTGTACGGCATCTGTCTTTGATTTTGTCTATTGATGAATATACGCACAAAGTGAAATTGAACTTGCGTTCATGAAAATCGGAAAGGGTACTGCCTTTTCGTCAAACTGAAAAAATGGCCGCGTCACTCTTGTAACTGCGCATGTCATTTTGAATAGATGTATATATATAAGTAACGTGATGTATAACGAATATATAAAATTTGAATATAATCAGTCGAAGCATTTCAGAAGCCCAATCATTAAAAAAAAATGGCAACCAGTCAGCCATTTTTAATCCAATCTGAAAAATAAAATGACGTGCATCAGAAACCCGTAATGTCTAATGTATGTACCAAGTTTGAACGAAATCCATCCATAAATGCCAGAAATGCTTGATATTTGATGATTTTTTAGCACAAAAATGACTACCATTCGGCCATTTTGAATAGGATCGTCAAACCATTATATCTGTTTATCTATGACATGATGTATAATGAATATTTAAAATTTGAATATAATCAGTCAAAACAAGTCTGAGATATGGGTCTTGAAGCCCATTCATTAAAACAAAATGGCCACCAGACAGTCATTTTGAATCCGATCTGAAAAATAAATGATGTGCATTAGGAACCTGTAATGTCTAATATATGTACCAAGTTTAAACGAAATCCATCCATAAATGCCAGAAATGCTTGATATTTGATGATTTTTTAGCACAAAAATGACAACCATTTGACCATTTTGAATAGGATCATCAAACCAATATATCTGTCTATCTATAACATGATGTATAATGAATATTTAAAATTTGAACATAATCAGTGAAAGCAAGTCAGAAATATGGCACGAGAACCACATTCATTAAAACAAAATGGCCACCAGTCGGCCATTTTGAATCTTATCTGAAAAACAAAATTATTTGCATCAAGGTCCCATAATGTGTAATGTATATACCAAGTTTGAACAAAATCCATATGTAAATAACCAAGAAATGCTTGATTTTTAGGATTTTTTAACACAAAAATGGCCGCCATTCTGCCATCTTGAATCAGATGGTAATACAAAATGATGTGCATCAAGGTCTTATAATGTCTAATGTATATACCAAGTTTGAACAAAATCCATCTGTAAACAGCCGAGAAATGCTTGATTTTGATGATTTTTAGCACAAAAATGGCCGCCATTCGGGGCCATCTTGAATCAGATCATGAAACGAATTGACGTGCATATGTATAATATCATGTATGATGTATTTGTTAAGTTTGATTGTGATTGGTCCAGGCATTTCTAAGATACAGATACTGCGTCCCAAAGGGGACTAATTAATGCAATAATTGACTAATCAATATGCATGGAATCTCACCAAAATCTAATCATCATATATTAGCTGTGTGCCAAATTTCATTTGAATTGAAATTGTAGATCTTGAGTTATCAGTGGAACAAATTTTAGTCACAGAGTCACAGACACCGGTACCACATAAGCTCCGTTTCACGGGAGCTAAAAAAGAAATAAACTTGTGTCATCATGCTGACACAGATCAAAAGCTCTAATATGTAACAATTAAACTTTCTATTTAATTTTAATTAATATGTTAATTTGCGAAGCTTATAATGTATGCTCTTTGGTGCAGTGAATTATTAAAGTGCCTGTGCAATGCCCACCCTCACGTTTCCCATTTTAGGTCTGTATCCCACTGAAATGGGCAGTTATTTATTTTTTTGCTGAAAATGAAAATGCTGAAAATGCTGAAAATTTGGGATATTTCTCGTGTTGTAGCCATGCCCACCTATCCTGAAACGGTTGACTGTTTCCGGATTTCCGACTCTCGTCGAAAGTGCGCCACCAAATGCCAAAATGTGAGAGGAAGTCATACCCCCTGAGCCGTAATAACACTGGTCATTCAGTATACTTTTAAACGATATACATTTTTCAGTCGGCGTTTTTTTTTTCTTTCTTTTTTTGTTTATTTTCTTTCTTTGAGAGAGAGAGAGTTTTTAGATGTTGTGTTGTGGGCAGTTGCAGTGAAACATATAGTCATAATGTAAGTATTCACACGTTTTAATCGATCCGAAGGTGCGACATCAGTGAACGAAAGCCACTTAACCTCAGATTCATTTTTTGGAAAAACTGTCCTCGTCCATGAAAAAAAAAAAAACTAGGTTAAAGAGAAACGCCGACAACATAAATCTGGTGCAACACTTTTGAAAGAAATAGATTCCGGACCATGATCACAGAGGCGGATTTCAGAAGAGAGAGAGACGTCCGGCAAGTGTTTCAAAGGAGTTGACTTTTTTGCGATCCTGATTATCGTTTTATAGAGACCATTTAGTCCCTGTTAAGTAAAAGGTAGCAATAATTTCGACAGTGACACGAAAACGAAGTGTCGGACAAACAGGAAATTACACAGCCCTTACACACTGCTAATTGTTTTCATTTTCGAAGGCTAAAAGTTTCTGAATTGTTTGATGGTTTGTGTTGAATGTGGAATTCACACCTCTGTTCTTTTTTTACCTCCATGCTTGCAGCTTGATCTGCGTAATAATTCACCTATTTCAACAAAATTTCAATTTATTTCCACGCGACTGTCATTTATTTAGTAACTGTGATTTGTCGTTTTTTAAATTATTTTATAGTGATCACTATGGTCTAATGTTTAGAATGTCAAAATATGTTCTCTTTTATTTTAATTTTGAAAGTTTTACTCAGACGATCGATGAAATAAAACAGTGTAGTGACGTGCCTAGTAACCTGCTAAATAACGAGATAATTCCGACGTCAAATTCTATTTTGTCCAGCAACAGTGTACAAACGTGCGCCGCTGACGATCACGGTGACCGAAGAAATTTGCCTTATTTACACGTATCGGCAATGCAAGCTGCCATGCGACTTCCCCTTCTGACGTCACAAGGGGAATTTCTGTATGCAAATAAGAAGCTAATGAGGAGCCTCGTTTTAAAATACACAAAAATAAAGTTGCCGTAGATTGAGTTTAAAACACATTTTTTCACTTAAAAACATATTTCATGCTTAGAAACATACAAAAATAATAATATTTATGTATCAATGGATAATTTTAGGCGTGAAAATAGCAGCCATTTCACAGGCACTTTAAACATAAAGCGTCTGATGAGTGAGGTACTTGTACCTTATGAAAAAGTGCTATTGAGTTTCAATATTCATGTTCTTGTGTATTAATTCCTCTATCGTCCTATTCTACCCGCTCTACATATACTTTGTATTGAGCACTTTTGTTTTGGAATAATCGACTTTCGTATCTACACTATATATATATATATATATATTTCTTTTTGATTGCTGAACTAAAGAACTTTAGTTGCCACTGTGAAACATGGACAGTTTGAAATTAGTGCAGTGGTCAATTTCAACTATCCATTTATTACCTTGAAATGTAAATATAAAAATTGCAGGAGCGTTGGGGAACATATTAATAACCATTCTTACTTTATTTTACCCATTTGTTTAAAAAGGTTTTCCAACATTTGTTGGTGACTTTACTGTTAAAATGATTGAAAATATGGTTAGGGTCCTCATGCAAGAGACTATTAATAATATGGCCAAATATGGTTATGTGACTAAATATGGTCATGTGACCAAGGTTAAACCAATCAATTAATGAGGCTATAACAATTGAAAATTGAATGGTTGAATTCATATTTTTTTTAAAAGGAATAAAATGTTGGTATATTTTTACAAGGCATTGGATATGACCTCAAAATAATAGCTAGTACATGTATACAGGCTTCATAGTAAATCCTTGATGATTTCAGCAGCAAGTCTTAATCATTATGATTACAAAATGTATGCAATCGTTACAACTGATCAGATTTATGGCTACAACTGAATTTTGTCTGCTTCACAACACGCCTTATATTTTTTTTTGAAGCCCAATGAATTATTCACACATGTAAATCTTATCTCTGCTATATGATATATACCCAGGGCATGTATCCACTATTTTATCTGTTTGCAAGAATAACTTTACATTATAGTAATGTCTCTTGAACCTATGATCACGACTTTATTTTGAAGTAAAATTTTACCATACCAGCATGGTTGTGGCATTGTTTCAAAGAATGAAAACCACTTTGCTATTTTATTCTCAATTCTCTGCTCTTGAAAAAAAACTGTATCGATATTTATATATACATTATTGAAACTAGAGGTCCTAAATCGAAACACAGTCATTCACAGTAGCTATTATGCTGTCCAACACATGCAGCCGATAGGCAATATAAATAGTCAGTATCCATAGATTATAGCAAATATACCACTAAAGTCAAAGAAAGTGATCTGTAAATACCCGGATAATGTCTCAGTCTCGTGTGGATTTTTATCATTTCTCAATTCAGCTTCCAGAGTAGCTAATGTCAACTGACTTTTCCCTCTTCTTTTGAATGACGGGGTTTTCTTATGAGCAAAAGTAGCATTGTCAAACTCATCATTTTGTAATGCTTCATTATTCAATCTGGAACAGAAATACATACAAATGTATATTATATGAAAGCATCAAGAATGATTATATTC